TAGCAACAGCTAATTGTAGGCACCATGGCACCTATCTATAGTCCTAGCTACTCAAGAGGCTGAAGCAGGAGAATTCCTTGAACCAAGGAATTTGAGACAGTCTGGGCAACATAGCTCTAGACCCAGTCTCAAAAAAGAAAACAAAATTAAATGACCCACTGTGAATATACTAAAAGAACCACTGAATTGTACACTTATAAAGAGATTAATTTTATGGCATATGAATTATACCTCAGTAAAATTGTTTTAAAAATATTTCCAATTAAAACATTTTTAAAAATCTTTATTTATAAAAGTAATCACACATATAGGAAACTGGAAAATGTAGTAAAGTAGAAAGAAGGAAAAATATGTATGTGTATATCCCCAGTGTAGCACCACCATAGAGACTGTTAACACATGGGGATCGTTTCTTCCATTATTTTTACATTCCCATGTATAGGTTACTTTTATATTGATGAGCACACTTCTGGGTATAGAATTTTACATCTTCCTTTCTTCATTCCATAGTATACCTATTTAAAATGCTGTCATAAATTCTTTATAAACATATTAATGACTTACAATGAACCAGTGTATAACGGTATTCTAAATTAATCATCCACTTTTTAGACTTTTTTTTTACAGGGAAAGATAAACACTATAAGAAATTCCTTTGAGTATAATCCTTTTTGTCATATTTGGATTTATTTCCTTTAATGTATGCTAGGTTTTAAGATATTTTATACATATTTTCTAGTTGCATTTACAAAAAGCAAGGCCTCTGTTAGCCTACAAGTTGTCCCTGTTGAGGTGGCAAGCTCCTGGGCAAGTGTAGTCCTGGGAGTTCAAGTTTAGGGGTAAGATTCACCTGTTCACATTCTGTGGGTGCCTTGTTGCAGTGGACAGTAGCACTCTGAATGGAAATCAATCTATCTATCTATCTATCTATCTATCTATCTATCTATCTATGGTATTATATTTCTCCACTAACAAACAGGAAATACTTTCTGTAAATTTCAATGAATAGCATAAGATGAGAATGTAACCTTTTTTTTCAAATAGTCAATTTTCCAAACATCCTATTTTGCATAATCTTTCCTTTGCCTACTGATTTATGGCATTCTTTATCATATATTAAATTCTCATATCTACTCTGATAAAAATATTTTGCTGAGTTTTACAATGATCTTATTCTTTTTTAATTCATTAAGTTTATTGGTACATTTTAGGTATACAGTATGATCACATTCATCATTGGGAATTTGTAGCTGTATATGATATATCTTGGTTCCTATTTTTTTCCCCATTCCTCTGCCCTCCCTTAAACCCTTTCACTTCTCCCTATTTATAAAGACTTTGTTTCCCTTTTTTTCTTTTCTCATATTTTTTCCTTTCCCTTTTTTCTTTCCCTTACCCCTCCCACTTTCTCTTTGGATCTTTTCTTCCTATTTCACATTATCTATTCTTTTTTTTTTTTATTGAGTTTATTGGTACATTTAGGGATACAGTACAGTTACATTCATTGTTGGGATCATGTACCTTTACATGGCAAGTCTTGATTCTATTTTTTTCCCCTTACCTCTGCCCTCCCTTCACCCCCTCCTCCCCTCCCCATCTACAAACGCTTTATTTTCATCTTTTCATTCTCTCACATTTTTTTCTTTTCCCTTTTTGTTCTTCCCCTACGTATCACACCTTCCCTACACCTTTAGCTCCTTTCCTCCCATTTCTAAATGTCAGTAATCTTATTAGAATCTTATGCATTGTTGCAGAATATTCACACCAGGGAAACTATTTGGTATTTACACATGTG